GTGAGCCGAGAAGAGAAATTAATTTCTTATCATTTTCTTTCTTTGCGTTTCCAATCATTTCGCCAAGTGATTAATATTTGTATTTTTCCTAAATATTTTGTTGCATGATGTACCAGTTTTAGGGTTAAAAATACAATACAAATTCCCCAAGCACCCAGTGCCAGCCACACACGTGCATCTTCCTGAACTACAATTAGTTTTCCCCAATCTAAAGTGTAATATATCAATAGGATAACAGCTCCGGCGTAGATATACATCTGCACAGAACCAATCCTGCACCACCCAGTTGGAGCGGCCATTTATTTAACGACAAATTGAATAACTTCCTCCGTAACTTTGTTTGTGGGTGCAATTTAAAGCTCGTGTAGGGTAAATGATATAGGTAAACGGTTTGAACACGTGCCACTGTACCGACGTGTGCCCAAACCTCAAGATTAGCACCACATAAAATTTTGTGTAAATCATTTTAAGGGAAATCACCGATAACATTTCTCACAAGTAACAATTTTTGGAAAACGAGCTATTCCAAATTTAATGGTCTGGTTATTGCCGCCGAATTGATTTTAACATTCAATAGTTTCGACTTGTTTCGCAAAATTTAATCTTCCAAATGAATTTGAAAAAGTCCAGACATAAGAAGGTGCCGTAATATGAGGACTATGCTCGTGATTTGAGTAATTATCAAAATTTGGTAGTAAGTTAAAGTTATTTTAAAATGCAGCTAAGTTCGGCCGGTATGTATGTAATCCGGTATGGTATATAATGTGTGCAACCTGTGAAACAATATATATATACATTTTGCCTGGCCCACTGTATACCAGTTCGCTTTAACACCTCCATCAATGACACATCACCAAAATATTCCTGATTGCAACAGGGCCATCTGAACATGCGACTCTTTTTTTATGTCTTCTTACTTTATGATGCATAATTTATCTTTGGATTTCACCACTACCACTTCGAAATGTTAAAGTTAAAAACTGTTTTCGAACGAAAGCCAAAAACACACAATCATCTTGGCAGAAATCGCAGATTACTCCCTAAAAGTACATTTCACATGGAGGATGGGAAAGGAGAGGCTGCCAGTTGAGTGCACGCCAACATGCGATACTGTCACAAATGTATTCTTCCAATAGCTCAAGAAGTTTGAATGCCGGTCGACACATAAAGTAACATCATTACACGCAACTTTACGCAAGATCATACTTCTGAGCGATTTAAAAATAATATTGAGTTGGTGCTAGCGGGAACATGCCGAATGATTGCGAATATGAAATTGTGTTTACTTTGCTAACGTTTAAAGCATGACAGGCTAATGTCAAGCGTCAATCTGACGCCAATAATTACTGTTGTAACAGTCTCCCATTGCCATGCCCCCTTCTACAGGCCACGGATTCCGTCTATGAATTCCAGTCCTCAGTTCACCACACTCGGCTCGATTGTGCATTCGCAACTGTGCAGCTCCACTTGATAAAATGTGTTGCCTGAGTCTCCTAGCCGGCAAATCATTTCACGATTCATTATTATGCAGTGTGCTATCAGAAACAGATAAATCGTAGTCTGGTCGCAATGGTTGCTGCTGCAATTGTCCAACAGTCGTCCCAAGCTGCCTGCACCTCTCCCCCCTTATGGAGCTAGAAGCGTTGTCTAACAACATAAATTTGTCACAATTTATGATGATAACAAATAGTGTGCCTGCCGTTTACGAACTGCTCGAGCGAAAAGCCTAAATTTATTGACAAAGGGAAAGAGCAAAGCAGGAAAAAAGTGTTGGACTTTAAATCGTTGATAAGGACGCCACACATGATGTCTGTCGGCGTTGTGGGCAATCGGGAAAGTTTAGCGTGTTGGAGGTCTGTTGGTTACCTCGTTGGTGACAGCCAGTTTCGTCCAACAAAAGAAAATCGTGAAGGGTGTTCCATCGCCCATAACTTTTTATTTGTCGCTAATGCCAATTTGAGTTATTTCGTTTGCAAAGCTGTTATCTAATGCCATGACACCAGCAGTTCTCAACACATCAACATTTCCTGTTCTGAGGCAGTCAGCCGTGAAGTCATTTGATGTGCCACTCGGTGGCAATCATCCTCCTCCTCCACTCGTTAGTTATAGCCGAATGGCTGCGAAATGTGTAGCGAAACAAACGCGTTTATTTTATGACAAATAAAAAACAATAAACGTCAGTGCACGATTAGCATCATTATAGCTATCAGCAATGCCTCGTCACAGCCACGTTGGTGGTCAAAATTACACAGCTACAGATGTGAAATATATGTAGATATGTATTTTCGAACAAGCATCGCTGTAATTTTGTGTTCGGTCAGTCAATCATAAGTCCATCAGGATTAGGCCGCATGGTTTTAACGAAGCGTATTCCATTCAATATTTAAAATCCAATAATTTTGGATAGATTAAATAGCTATTCATCCTTTATTTTCAAAACTGGGTTCCCCAATCATTGATTTCACCACCTAAGAATTGGATATAGACTAACGAAAAAGGTAAAATTTAGATATTTCCTCCAGTCGAATTATTTTTCTACACTCATGCCCTGGATTCCAAAAAAGCGGATCCAATATGGTACATGTATGAGCCCAGCTCTATTGTGTAAACAGAAGTATGAGTATGGGAGTTATGGTTGAATGAAATGCGGCCAACGATATTTTATTGTTTTTAAATATAAACAGTAAAATTTTAATTATTCTGCAAAAAGTTTCAGTAAAATGCATTGGTGGTGGTGATAGGGTCTCTCGCGTATGCTAAAAAACGGAAAATTAACAAACGGCAGCGTCAGGCGATAAATATTCCAACTTTAAAATTATGATAAGTGAATGAACAACGCCCAAAAAGCGGTGGCGTGTTAACACTTTGAATATACGAAAGCATGGACCTATATAACTTTGACTCCGTGCTGGAACTAACAAAAATCTAAAGTTTGTACAAACTTTGGGTTTTAAAGCTTTGACGAGGTTTAAAAGTGGTACCACAACTTATTGCAACTATGCAAACACATGTGCTAACTTCTCTGCAAGTTTTTGACCTGACGTCGACCAGAAAATGACATTCACCTCATCGAACTCCCTCGGCGCATTTCCAAATTGGAATATCAATTAGAAAATGCACAGTTTGCAAGATTTGCTCGTGAGTTAATCTGCAGATCGTTTTAAACGTCACGTATAAAATTACTTATCCATTCATCCACCACCCTCTGTTCGTAATTATGCTACTTCAAGGATTCTCGTTAAAAAAATCTAATTGTTCATTTCAGGTCTTAACTGCCCTGCAAATGTGCTTGCATTGACACTTAATACGTCATTCAAAAGCATTTAATAAAGATTATAGCTTTCAAAGGACTTTTATCGAATAACTTTGAAACAAAAGCCACGCCACAGTCCTGGCATAGATTGCCATTTCAAATTGTCCTTTTTTTGTTGAAAAGACCATGAAAGCAGAATTTATAACTAAATTGTGGTTTAGTCACGTTTTGAGTTTGACAAAAAATGCGATTCCAAAAAGGCCATTCAATATTTGAGTAAGCCATTCTTGAATTCATAAATGCAAGCATGTATCAAGGAAGTTCCTTTGGATTTGGATCTCAAAAAAGGTGGAGCGAGTCAATAAGGAAGCATCATGTTGCACAAAAGAAGCACGCGTTAAATGAATTTCCTGTTCAATAAGAAATCGTTCATTGGTCCCCTTCTTCCTCGTCGTCAATGCTCTTTAAGTGTTTCAGTGGTGGACGATTTTTGTTCTGTTCTGGCTTGGGTCACACTAAAACACGTTATTTTGCTGGAAACGGAAGCAATTATGTATGTTGTTGCTTGGAATTATTCTGGAGAAAGCCATGACGGGCAGTGGTAGTGGACGTTCTTGTACTACTTTCATCAGTTGGTTGATTCAAATATATTTAGATTCTTAGGGGGAACATAAGCAGAATTTGAACGAGTGATTACGAGGTGTTTCATTTGTGCAAGGTTAATAAAATATTCTTCTTATCCATGAGGGTATAAAAATACTTCAAATACCATACTTAGGGTAAGCGAATCAGTGACGCAAATTCATGCAATTGCCCGATCTTACTTTAACTGCACTTACTTAAATAATAGGAAGTTTAATCTGCTCACGAAACATTGTTTCATTACTAGGCTACATTCATGGCACAATGAAATAAGGGTAACCTCATTTCAAGTAAGCATTCCCAGCTCTGCATTTTCTGTAATTTACCTTGTCAAATGCATAGAAAACCCTTCTCATCTCCGATTTGGATTTATAAACATAGATTTTGACAATGAGATATTGTCAAAGGAAAACATTTGAAAAATTGTAAACATATGATTGCACGACTTTACCTTCTTAGTTCTACCATGGCTACATTGAATGTACGAAGTAAGTTTTCGAACTGTATACATGCTGGGTACTTTTAATTTGACCACGATGAAAGCCATTTATTTTAGTACTTATCTGAAAGCATGTATTGGCTAAAAACCGCAAAATAATCTTGTAGGAAATTCAATAATTGACATTGAATAGTGGAATTAAATAGCAAAGTGTTTATACTGGTTTAGACTCAGCCAGTTTAATGTTCTTCTTTATTCGCAAGAGTTTTAGTAATTAATGCAATAAAAACGAAAAAAAGACAAAGATTTTTTACATATATTTTCGATTAAACAAAAATACTTATTACCCGTTTCCAATTAAAACAAAATGTTTTGGTAGCAAAAGAAGACAGCAGATGACTTTACTGTGGCAAAAAATGTTAATTTTTGTACTTGTACTAAAATATATATCTGAGGTTTGGTAGTGAAAATTTCACTTAGCCAAAAAATGTTGGACGTCCTGCAAACACCGGTGGAAATTAAATAGCAGAGAGTAAAAGGGTGTTAGATTTTGTAGAACACGTACATATTGTTCTCTAAATTTATTTTTTATATTTATTCCATAGCCTTCTTTGTATTCTTATACTCATTTACTAACCTCAAATTATTCTCTATTAACCTTTACAGATGACGATAGTTGAGCTCTTCAACTGCAGATATAAAGTTTGATTTCTGTGACAACAAAAGGGTAAGTTTTCAAATATTTATTATTTCCACATTTGGGAGTATTGTTTTTATCGGCAATTCAAACTAAATGACCTATCAATGATTCTTTTACCTAAATTCATTACGTCCTAATTTGATGAAGTAATATAAACCTTGACGATTGAAAGTAAATTCGATCTTTTAAGCTTGTCTGATTTTTGTGACTGTGACAATCCCTGCCTGCAAGTTTCGTTTTTTTTTTGTTTTAAATAATCGAAAAGTATTTTCAATTAAAAACACTTCTCACCCCAACTTGATATTTGGTCTGAAGCATCAACTATAATGCTTTGTTGTTGAACCCAAATTCAAAGACTCCAGAATGTCAATGACAATCTGTCAAAATGTCAAATGAATAAGAAATTTCTTCAAATTTATCCGAGATTTATCCAAGATTTATATTCGAACGAAAATCCCTAATTGGGCGAATAGAATTTTACAGGCATAGAAAGTGGGGAAAGGAATTAAGAATGTTTTAATAGGGCTCTGACAAACACAGCTGCCTTTTTGGGGTTGAAGTGTGGTATGGTTTTACTTGAATAAGAGTTGTGTCGAAATCAAACATGTCCCTGTTACCCTCAAATAGTACAATTACACATTGGAGGAATGAACACAGGGTCATAGTAGGTGTTTACCACTCTGAAAGTAAATTATAAAATATGTCAAATGTTCACTCTGAAAGTAAATTATAAAATATGTCAAATGTTCACCTCCTCCCTGTGCATAAAAGCCAAATTAGGTTAAGGTTAGGCACTTCAGTTTACTGCGTGATGTTTGAAAAGCAAGGTAAAGTTTTTATTTTTAATAAAACCATATTTCTGTTAAAGAGGCAGCTGTTTTCGTTGGCTTGAATAAATTTAGTAGGTCTATTTTAAAGCGGCAGATGCTATTTACTTCGTGTTTAATCTGTCTCCATCTGACATCTAATATTTTGCATTATGCCGAGTTGGATGTAAACCTAATTTGTGGTTTCTTTTACTGTGGGATTATTAAGTTTACTCTACAACCAAGTTAGTCGATGTTTGTAGTTATCTTTAGATTATCTCCTGCTTTCAACAATTCGTAATATCATCGAGATAAAAATTGCCCTCTCTCTTAAAAATAAATATTAGAGCTCCGAGATGTACGTGTTAGCACAAAGTTAGGGGGTTTAATCAAGATGAAAATCAAAAATATTACTGTAAGATAAAATACAACTCCAACGGTTAAATTGAGTAGAACTGCTATAACTGATACATATATATGTGCGGATATTGGCATGGCTTCATTTTAGCCACTTGAGATCCTGCCGTGTAGCACAGTTTTGGAAGTGGGATTGACAAATACTGAACCATCAATAAATGACTTCGATGTGTTGTGACGCGCCCAATAACGATGCAGTCGTAGGTGTTACAGAAGTATTTTTTGACATCTTACTTTTGTTTTCATGGCAAATTATTTTTGTCAATCCATTATAAGCGACTTTGTGAATACAAATACATTTTGATAAAATGCAATGAAACATTATGCAATTTTGAATTTTAATTTCGTTTGTGGATTTTTTATGAAACATGAAGCTCTGCGTTTCAATACTACACAACATCATACTTTCAAAAAGAAGCATCACATTTTTTTTTTTTTGGAATTCTTAACTAGTATCACTTTTTTCTTTGTTTTTTTTTATAAATTATCTACTTTTCTTATTTCAATACACACATAAACATATTTGCACATCGAACGATTCATTTTTATTTATTTTAAAATCTAATAACCGGTTGCTGGTTCGTTGTTTTGTTGTCGTATCCATTATTCCTCAGAGACAAGGTTAACATTTAGCTTAGATTTGCGGTTGCGGTTCAATGCAAATTTGCAATCTTCTTAACTGTTGACATTAAATATAGCCACAATATTTGATTCTCAAAAAAAGACGGGTTTAATTTAACACTATTCTTCGTTGTTTTCTTCAAATTGACTTGAATAAATAAATATATGTTTTTTTATATTTTAATACACCGCATTTTGTACTTTATGTATATACGATAGTACACCACACCAGTTGTGTGTACTGACAAAATATTTTCACGTCTATTAATCAATGAAATTGCCGGCGAAAGTTTTTATTTTATCCGTCACTCCACAAACAGAGCGTTCAAAGACCACACGACAACTGAACGTTACACCACCACCACAGACGAGTTTCCAACTTCACATGCTGGAGTTGCTAAGCGAGACAACAACACAATGTCTTTGAATATTTCGTGGCAACATGATAGACATACCATTTTACGGTACGACTACATTGGGATGATCCGAACCGCATGCTGAAAAATACGACACAGAAGGTGGTACCAATAAAACATATGCAAAAATTCGGAAGGCCCACTTCCTAATTATTGCACCATTGTCTTTTCATGCTTATAACATTTGGGTTCAATTTTCAAAAAAATATATATGCATAGAATGTGGATATTGAGTTCGCAAGTCTCCCAGTGAAGACATTTGGTGCAGAAGCCCTTTCTCTGTAGTATGTATTGCCTTGGGCATTAAAGATGGTTATGGCACAATGAAAATAATATTGGGAAAACTTTTGCCTCTTTCAAAAATCCGTAATCTTATTATAACACACACTTTTCTTTAAAAATGAAATTCTCATTAAATACATTTTTTGGGTTTGTTCGGTACATCCTAACATACAATAATACATTTGTACATATCCGTCAGATACATAAAAAATAAAAACAAACGACAGAACAGCTGCTGGTTCGTTGGAAGCTGTGTTCATTTCTCACAACATGTTCATTGGTGTCGGGTTTGATGTTGTGTTTTGTATGAGCCATGGTCTTTCAGAGACAGAGACTTTGTTTGCTTTCTGCCTCCTCCAAACACATTCATTTTTGGTGGATATTATCGAATATTAGTGAATGTTGGGGTAACAGTTGCAGCCGTTGGCGTTTCTGTTGCCACGGTTTATAAATAGCTGAGGGAGAAATTGGATGAATATTTACAAATGCATGTATGTCTGCTGTACATGTTCTAGTTCAATAAACTTATGTGCCCATTGACATTCACCCTACGCAATGTGTTTGTAGTACTCCAAAAATACTGTTTATACTTAGAATGACATTGATTAGTGTTGTCATGCCAATGGCGATGCTGTTTGTGAGCTAGTCAAGTGTTTATATAACACAATTCTTCATCGTTTAATGATTTTCCTCAATAACCGTAATATCACATTTTATACAATTATGGACTGAAAGAAAATATGCTTGGCAAAATGTTGTTAAAAGTTAAAAATGATGAGATAATGATAATTGAATGAGGAAAATCAATAGAACAGTGATCATCAAGATCATATCGAAGGAGAAAAAAATTACATTTAATGTTTATAAAAATATTCATTTTTTGTTGCAAAATAGTTAGGATTTATTTATTAGAATGAAATGCCAACGCTGTTCTCTTAATAGACAAGTCAACGCTGACAAAGGGTTTTTTTGTAACAGAACCCCTAACGAAATTAGATTATTTCGACTTTCTTCGGATAAATGTTCATAGTAAGTGATTGCAAAACTGGATGAATATCACATTTTGTATAGCCATAGATTTTAAATTGCTAATTTTTTATATCCTCCACCATACTATGAAGGGCCTATTTAGGTTGTTATTCCGTTTGTAACTTTCCGAAGTTATCATTTTAGACCCCACTACGTAAATAAATTTTTGATCAGCATAAAATCCATGCACATACATCTGTCTTTGGAAATCACTCCAGATTTCGAACGGAATGAAGTAGGTTCATAAAATTTTACTCATATCTACTTTAAGTCAGTGTATATGTCAGTAGAGGGTAAAATAGGTCCACATTATGCTATAGCGCCATATAACGATACATCCCGGAGTTCGCAATAGCTACCACCTCCTATGACAAATATTTATCTCGTGCCGATGATTTTAGCCGTTTTGATCAACCTATAGACATATTTTTAAAAGTATTAATTTTCACGTGGTAGAGGGTCCTTCAAATTCGACCCGACTGTACTTAACTGGTTTTTCACTTGTTTTGGGTTCAAATTGTTTTGTTTTTCTCAAAGAACTATTTAATACCTATTAATAAATAGTAAATACCATAATTTCACACTTGCCCATTATAGTTACTTGTCTTTCATTGATCTGAGATATATTTTAGAACCCCGTTGTTTGCCCTTCCATTAGAGAGTTTAATGGACATTTATAACTTGTTAAATGTCTACAAACAATAATAAAAAACTAATAATGTCTGAGATAATTGCTTAATTTTCAATAGTTTTATTACACATATACATACATACGAACTTACTGAGCACCAGCTCTCGCTACCAGTCGGTATCTATGTAACGCGTAGTTGTACTCAACGACAACAAGGTTATGGTCGAAGTAGAAAAAAGTTTACTCATTGCTTTAGATATCTATTAACAAAATTAAATAATTCGAACGCAGTCATCTCAAACAAGTACGAAGTTTACACTAGTCTTTCGTGGATCAATGACTACTTCTCTCGGTCACTTCCAAGCGAAGTACCAGTTGTTATTAATTGAATTGCCTTTGGTTGTTTGTGTACTCTACATACGTATGTATGTGTGGTTGACCATTTGCCAGCCGCCTGGCTTACTGAACTTTAATTTATGTTTGGAGCTCAATTTATTGACTTGATTTGTGATTTTTACACCCTACACCACAAAGTGGTCAGGGTATTATGTCTTTGTGCATTTGTTTGTAACAGGCAAAAGGAAATGAGATATACCCGTAGTTCCTCTTGATGATCTGAATAGAATCACTTTCTGAGTCGATTTATGCATGTCCGTCCGTCTTTCCATGTATTTTTGTAAACAAAGTACAGGTCGCATTTAGCAGAAATAATTTGTTTGACCCAAGGACGAACCCTATTGAATTTGGAGATAATCGGTCAAAATTTAGATACAGCTCCCATATACATATCTTCGTCCGATTTGCCTTTTATTGTGCACCAAACGT